TTGCATTGTCTTGCTCTTGTATCACTTGTAATTAATAGCAGTCCAAATAATATGCATTCAGTACTTAATTGAGGGCAATTTTCTTTGCAGTAATTCATACATGATGCTTTCAAGTTCCCTTTTTCAGAAATAAAAGAAAGAACAATTAAGATGATAGTCACATAAACAGAGGAAGATCAATCTACTTGATCAATTGTTCCTCTTGCTTATTTATTCCATTGACCATCTTCACATCTTGTCCTAGTACTATACTCAGTGCCCACAGGGCTCTGGGCAGGGTGCCTGTTACTCAATTTTGGTGAGGAGGTAACAAGGTAACACCCCTGGAAAAAAAAAGTTTCCAAATGGCCTAAAACACCTTTGGACACAATCTTGATTTGCTGTCAGGGTGTGGCACCTGTTACCCATTTTTAGTGAGGAGGTAACAAGGTAACACCCCTAAATAAGTCCCCTCCATGTCCTCCTTGGATATATTATTGTCCCTATTGCATGGTGAGCACAATTAGTGGATAGTGTATGAATGTGGTTTAGGGTGAAGGGAAAGGGCTATAATGGAGAGGGGTGCAAACATGAGTGTTTCATGGCTGTACCCCACATGCTGCAGCCCACCACTTCACCCATCCATTCTTCCTTTGTCAACTCTGGCTGCACCGAACCTCCTCCCCCAGGAGGACACCCAAGTATGTGTAATTTTTAGTACAAATCATACTCAAGAACAACCTCCTGTTAGGTTTGTGCGATGAATGTTTCTCTTTCTGTTTGTTTATTCTGTTGAGCTAGGCTACCAGAATATGAGGTTTTGTATGTACAATGGTGTGATGATAATAATGATGAGATGAGATAATGAATTTATATATAAAAGAGTATGTACAACTTTGCCATTGAATATTGGACTATTTATACTAATGCCCACCACTGGTGTGTGTGGACTAGTCCGTAATGTCCTCCTCTCCTGTCAAAGCATTTGAGAATGCTCGCTTTCTCAGACCTTGCGACTTTCTTTACTCGGTACTTACTTAAGGTTATTCACCTTTTCTTGATTGTTCAATACTCAGCTAGTAACACTTTTCTTTTGCAAGCATTAAGTCTGAATGCTGTCTTAACATTCACAGCGATTGCTTTTGTATTCACATCTATTAGTTTGGATAGTTCCTTGCTTTTGTCTTTCTTCTCTTGATTTGCTTTCCTTTGATAGTACTGCTTTTGATGACTACTGAGAGCCAACTTAACATGCTTTGCATGTTCTATGGCTTGTAGATCGGGTAGTCGGGGATCATTGATCTCAAGTTTGGAGGCTTTAATGTTGGGATCTTTCTGTGACACTTCTTGTGTAATCTTGTGGAGTGATCGAGGTGAGAGCATACAGAGATTTGCAGATGCCACCTGCTCAACACCTCCATCAACTACCCCACCCAAACCCAATCCTACTCCAAGATCCTAGCGGAAACATCATGCCCACCAGCAATCAGAACAACAGCCCTCATTCACTTACTGGATCTCAACAGATATCTACTCAAATATGTCAAGTCTTCCTTCCTCAGCTCAGGATTACTATCAGACCTGGCCCCCATGCTCAGGGCTAATGCTGGCACACTCATCTCAACCTTCCTTTGATGCCAAGCTTGTAATCAGACAAAATTTTGAGGATGGCAAGGTCTTCCATCCTCATCTCAGGATTAATATCAGATCTGGCCCACATGATCAGGGCTAATGCCGGCACACTCATTTTGACCCCCCTTTGATGCCAAGATTCAGATGAAGTCATCACCATTCCTGCCTACTTAAATGACTCTCAGTGACAGGCAACCAAAGACCCTGGTCTCATTGCTGGTTTGAATGTTCTTCAAATCATCAATGAGCCCACCGCTCTTGACAATAAGACCACTGTAAAGCAAATTGTGTTGATTTTAGACCTCAGAGGTGGTGTGGAACTACTCTTGGGATGAATAGAGCTTGAGAGGGATGAGTTCTTAATTGGGCTGCCTCTCTGGTAACTACAATGAGTAAGGTAACAAGAAAAATATAAGAGTATGGACTCTTAAGGAAAGGTGTGGCTTTGGAGATTTCTTGAGGATGGTATGTCTAATGTTTCTTATGTTTACTAGTCTAAATATACTTGTTCACAAATCAAGGTATCCCAAATGTTGATGGGCCTGGCTAATAGTGGGTGATCAGTTATCTGAATTGCTGGGGCAGGCTCTGATGTGGAACAAAGGAAGAGGAAAACAAAGCTCCTTATATACAAGATTCTAATTTGTGGTTGGAATATGGATGGAACAAAATGGAACAAAGAATGAACAAGGAAAAAAATTGAACTATGAACAATGTGACCTAATTTAGTGTGGCACTAAGATAAGATAAGACTAGACTGAAACCAAAGAAAGAGCCAAGTTAAGATAAGGTAATGAATTCATTCTGAAACAGAGAGAGGCTTGGATAATCTTATCAAGGGGAAGAGGTGGGGGTAATTATTTCACCCAGATGGGGATTGAACAGACAATGGGAAGAAAGGGCCAAAAGAGGGCTAGTATGAAACATGGCTGTTGTGTGGTAATTCTTGGCATAAGGTGGAAGGAGATAAGAGATAAGGAATATGTTTTTAGAGGGGTTTGAGATTATATTGAGAAGGGGTATTAGTGTGTAATTGGTGTGTGAGCTAAGTCTTATCAAGAGTGAACTAGGACTTTGGCCATGGGTTTCATTTGAGGAGTTTCAGAGGTGTGGAAGATGTAATTATCCATGAGGGGGGCAATTGTGTGGACAACTGGGTTGTTGGACTTGTTTGAGGGCCTGGGGAATTTCTGAGGGGTCTTGAGTCTGTGATTCCTGTGTGATATGTAGTCATGTTGTGCTCTGAGATTCAGGATTGGCTTACCACAGTGGTAATTTTGATGTGTCTCCCAACCATCTCATCAACCACTTTGTCTCCGAATTCAAGCACAAAAAGAAAAAGGTTGGTAGTTCATTCTCCCTATCCAATTGTTTTCATTGATATACTAATGCAAAATTTAATCCACCCCTCAGACCTGTCTTCTGGGCCATTTATTGTCTGTGAACTGCTTGCAAGCATGCCAAATGTACCCTGTCTCAAAAACGTCATTTGGGACTCTAAGATCAATAAGGCCAATGTATGTGGAATTCTTCTTGTTGGTGGCTCCACCTGTATCCCACATGTCAGATATTTGATTCCTCAGCTAGTGCATCCAACCTGTCAGTCATCATCTCACCTTTCTGTGGTTTTTTTGGTTTGATCTAACTTGATCAAACTGCTTGAATTTTTTTCATTGTTCATCTCTTCAACAAAACCAAAAATAATCTGCATGTGAGTGCTATTACATGTGACTCAATTCTAACCACCTACTAGTTCACAATTTTGTGCATTTCTTGCTTGCTTAATTTTTCCTGACATACTGTGATCTTAACATATTCAAACTGAAATATTCAACCAAAAGATCTTGACACAGAATTCAATATTAATGCCATGAGATTTAATTAATGGTATGGATTGCATTTCTTGCTTGCTTAATTTTTCCAGAGGGACTAGTGGATCTCCTTGAGACAAACAGCCAAAAATCCAATTCCTGCCTTGTCTTTTTTCCTTTTTATATTTTATTTCTCTTCATTTCATTTTGTTTTTGTTTTTAATTTTTTCTTCTTATACATATGAATGTGATTTCCTTGGGCTGCGTAACACCCAATGATTTCAAATTCATTGGTTTGCTACACACCAAGGTTGATTTTCCTTGGTGGGTGACCAACCAAGGTTAATTTTCCTTGGTGGGTGACAAACCAAGGGTGGATTCGGTTGGTTGGCACCAAGGATAAGAATGCTTGGTTGAAAATTCAGCCAATCAGTAATTCCTTGGTTTACACTCCCCAAGTTTGCCTCAGGTGATTGGTAACCAATAATGTGATTTCATTGGTGGGATAGGAACCTGATTTTACCTTGGATATTGTGTGGGCAAGATTGAGCTGGATAACAAATCCATTGGGCCATTGTCACCCAAGTTTTCATTGGATAGCATTTACATTGGGTTGGACTCAACCAATTTAAATTGGTTGTGCCCCACCAAGCCTGGCTGGGCTGCAGTTCACCTAAGCAAATTATAAGCTGGAAGTGGTGTTTCATTTATAGTTGTGTATTAAAATGTATATTTGGTGAGGTTTGTAGTCAAATTTGATGAAATGTATAGTTAGTGTGGGGTGTGTAATTATGAAAGTTGTGTGGTGTAGTGTTGAAGTTGGTGAGGTGTGTCAATGTGTAGTTGTGGAATGTTCAAGTTGATGAGGTGTAGGTGTAGAGTCAAAGTTGGTGAAATATGTAGTTGTTTCATGTTCAAGTTGATAAGGTGTAGAGTCAAAGTTGGTGAGTGAAATGTGTAGTTGTGTAATGTTCAAGTTGATGAGGTGTGGAGTCAAAGTTGGTGAAATGTGTAGTTGTATGAGATGAAGAGTTGAATTTGGTGAAATGCATAGTTGTGTAGTGTTCAAGTTGGTGAGAGGTGGGTGTAGTCCAAGTTGGTGAGGTGAGCTGTGTGTAGAGCTGAAGTTGGTGAGGTGAGCAGTTGTGGAGTGAAAGTTGGTGACATGTGATGAATTTTAATTCAGCACAGTGGACCAAATTTGGACTGAGACATGTGAATATTTCACTCCTGCCATACTACATGGGAGTACAAAACACCCAATCAGTGTGTACATCACACAACACAGTTTACAAAATGAAATCCATATTCTCTGAGTATGTAAAGTAGTTAACATCTGTAAGCAATCTACATTTTGAGATGCTTCCATCCAACTGGGCCTTGGCCAACTCTATCAAAAGTGATATTTGATGATGATTCCTTGAACTTGAAATGAGGATTTTGTAGCATGACTGATTATGAAGTTTTCAAAAGTTGTATGCACATTTAAATTGTTAAAAGATTCTCTTATAATGGCTTATATATCAAATCATTATTTTAAATCTGGGAGGACCAGCAGATAAAGGAAGGTTGATTGCTATTTTTCCAAGCAGTTATCATCAACTGATCCCTCCCCGGGATCTCTTGGATGTGTACCTGATGCTTGCTGACTATGATCTTTGCTAGTATCTTTGGCATGTTGTTTTTTATGGGAAATCAGTTTCTTGTTGGACAACATATTGTTTGATGGAAATGTCAAGGGTTGTTGGGTCTTGGAATGGATCAATGGATTGACATCCAGTGGTTTGCTAGTATTTTTGGCCACTCCTTTTGATTTTTTAAATCTTAGTGATAGTGATTTTGGAGTGTTGGAAGGATTTGATTTGTTGTCACCAAGTAAGATTTCATCCACTGGGAGAGATGAGTGATTTGCAGCTGGAAAGAATATATCAAGAGGATTAACAGTTTGAGGCTCTAGAGGATTAACTTTTGCATACTTTGATTGATGAGGCATTTCATATAGTGGGGGTGAGTTGAAAAGTGTTTCATCAGGAATGGTTGATATATGCTGCTATTGAGTCCAAGAATGTGGTTTGATGGGCTGAGGGTCCAGATAAGTTAGTTATAGGTGGTAGATAATCCTTTGTTATTTCAGCAGTTGACTGAGGCATATTTGACTGAGTGGAAGGCTCAGCATTGAAAATGCCACCTAGTGGAACTAGAATTGGAGTTTGGTCTGGCTGTTATTCAAGACACTTGGGTTATAGCTCTGGGTTTGTAACATTTTCAAGGGGAGCTGGTTCATCTGACATTGGGTCAGTGGCTGAGAATTTCTTGAGTGGAGCTGGTGAATCAAAATTTGGGTCAGTGACTAGGACATTTTTGCTGGGAGCTGGTGCGTCAGAAGTTGAGCCAAGACAAGCTGGATCATCAGACATTGGGTTGGTGGCTGAAAGTTTCTTGAGTGGAGCTGGTGGATCAAAGGGTGGGTTGCTGTCTAGGATATTTTTGTTGGGAGCTGGTGTTTCAGAATCTAAGCTGAGGGGAGCTCTGAGGGAAGCTGGCTCATCAGAAATTGGGTTGCTGGCTGAGAATTTCTCTAGCAGAGCTGGTGGATGTGACTGGGACATTTTTTGGAGAGCTGGTGTGTCAGAAGTTGAGCCAAGGGGAGCTGGTTCATCAAAAGTTGAGTTGGTGGCTGAAAATTTCTTAAGAAGAGCTGGTGTATCAAAAGATGGTTTGGTGACTAGGAAATTTTTTCTGGGAGCTGCTGTGTCTGAAGTTTGGTTAGTGGCTAGGTTTTCTTCTTTCAAAATATTTTCAAGATGAGCTGTGGGGCTTTGCACAACCGGGTTTTGAGTCATTGGACCCTTATGGCCGAGCCCAGGCCCAGCATGGTGCTTGGGGGGTCTGCCGCAATGATTCGTCATAGTAGAGAGCAATTAAAAATGCAGGAAGGGTATGAAGATGGGGTCTAGGAGGTGTTGAGATGTAGTGGGATGATGGGGATGGAAATACAATCTGGCAGGTGATGAGATGTAGTGGGTGTTCGAAGGAGATTTAGTCTAGCACTTGTTGAGATGTAGTGAGGCCGGGGAGTGCATCTTTGACAGGAAAGGTAAAAGATTTTTGATCTAGATTTTCATTGACTAAGAGCTGACACACTAAAAAGAGAAACAAGTTAGAAACATAAACAATGACATGAAAAGAAGAACAGAATGAGAAGAAGATAACCAACAGTATCACGCAAAGGAAAAGATGAGAAGAAGGGCTGAGAAGGAAGACTGAGCAGAACGGAGGGATAGAGGACAGAAGACTAGAAGGAAGGATTAGTAAGAGTTCAATGAGGAATGGAAAGAGGACGAACTCACCAGGCAGGCAAGGACACAATAGAGTAGATATAAGGAAGAAGACAGGAGAGAAGATGAGAAAGAAAGAGACGAAGAAAAAGGAGTAAGAAGGAGGATGAGAATAGAAGAAAGAGGATTGAGATGAAGTGATGAGTCGAGTGAGGAGTGGGTCTTGAGATGTGAGTAGAGTTGGGTTGAGTCGCGTGAGGAGAGAGATTGAGGAGAGTGAGGTTAAAAGAAGTTGAAGAAAGAAAGCCCGAACTGAGTGAGAGTCAGGAGAACGAGGGAGAGATGCGAATCACAGACGCGTGACAGATCTGTGATTTTTACAAAAGGGATGGAGATGCTGGCTGGTATGTGGTGGGATGTAGTGGGTTTAAACATATGGAAACACGGTCTTGTATGTGTTAAGATGTAGTTGGTTCAAAGGGAAACTGCTCAGCGCGGTCTAGCAGGTGGCCAGCTGTATTTACCCCCTTGTGTAGGTCTTAACACGTGCTGAGCTGTAGCTTGTGCATCACACATGTTGACTTTGCGCTAATATTTACACGGGCTACTGCATTGTAGCGGGTGCTGGATCGTAGTGCCCAGGCAATACACAACATTTTATCACCTGACAGGTTGTAGTGGCCTCAGTGAGTTAGAGATTCACTACAAATTTTCAATTCCTTACTCCCTCACAGGGCGTAGCGGCCCCCAATACATGAGTGTAACAGCAGTTTGCTGCACCTCAACACCTGATACAGCGTAGGGTATAACATAGATATGACATTTTGGTACAGAACAGTACCTGTGACTTCAAATAATAGTTGTTCCAGATTTTAGTTGTGAAGATAATGCCTGAGATGAGCTGCTGTGAGCTAGCACATGCCAGCGGGGGGCATCTCATGCCCGGCCGGCGAAGGAGGAGTTGTGGGGCTTTGCACAACCAGGTTTTGAGTCATTGGACCCTTATGGTCACGCCCAGGCCTACCACGGCGCTTTGCGGGTCTTCCACAATTTTTTGTGGTGATTTCCTTGGAGGAATGGTTGCAAAACAGTTTCTAAATGTTTCGATGGAATCTGTTTTCTGTTAAGTGGTTGTGGGATTTTGGTAGGTGTCATGGCACAAAATGGGGCAAGGGGCCCCTTCTTAAGGCACTCAAGATGTAGGCAAGAAAAGCACAGAAAAGTTGCTTATAATTTGAAAAGCAACCTCAGCACCTAAGATCAAAGGTGCTACAAGAAGGATTGCACCAAAACATAACTGTGAATGCCTGAATACCGGTGTAATGCAACAGCTGGACAAATCACAATACTACCGAGTCTCGCCTCTGCCTTTCTGTTATTTAACGGGTAGAGATACCACTTTTTGGATGATTGCAAATCTAGACTCCCATTACCGTGAAAAAGAAACCCCCACCAAGATGAGCCACCTCCGTTCTTCCAGCCACAAAAAGTCGAGTAGAAGGGCTTGAGCGGGGAGTGATCTTGGTAGCGGGCTCAGTGCAAATAGGGTCCCTGTCAGGTAGTAAGAAACCAATCATTTGTTGTGAATCTCATATGTCGAGTTGAGGGTTGAGCACTTGGCTTGGCTTGGTCTTAGTGTTGGACTTGTGAAAATATGTCACGCGCCACGTCCTATCACTAGGACCTTGTGCGCTCCATATTTACATTAGCTACTACGTTTTAGCAGGTAGTGGAGCGTAGTGCCCCGGCAATACACAATATGCTATCACCTAACAAGTTGTAGCAGCCTCAGTGAATTAGAGATTCACTACAAATTATCACTTCCTTACTCCCTGAGAGGGCGTAGCGACCCCCAACATAAGTGTAACAGCAATCCACTCACCTTGGCACAATTAATAAATAACCTTGAAGGGAAAAAAATGTAACAAAAGGAATGTTGAGAATATATGAAAGCAAGTAAAAATATGATTCAAGTTCTATTCCTATAAGGAAAAAGTGTTAACAAAAGGAATGTAGAGAATATATGAAAACAAGTACAAATATGATTCAAGTTCTAATCCTATAAGGAAAAAAAGTCAACAAAATGAATGTAGAGACAAAATGAAGTCAAGCATGAATATGTTTCAAGTTCCACGCGGGTGGCTTGCTGCCTTTGCAACCCCGTGGATACACCCATGGAATTGATGAGCCATCACCATTCTCCCAGCCGTCCAAAAAGTTGAGGGAAAGAGCTCAAGCAAGGAGTGAACTTGGTAGCGGGCTCAGTGCAGCTGGGGTTTTGAGGGCCTCAGAGATGCGATTGTGGAGAAGAACCTGAGTGTGGGTCCAAAAATTCTCACTAGGGAGACTGAAGTCTGTGGAAGATTGGGGGACGATTAGTGTTTGAAAAATAATATAGTGAAGTAAAAGAGGATGTGAAATGCTCACCTCAAACAATCAAAGTTTTCAGCATACTGATTATTTGTGCTGCACCAGTGGGGGGGAAGTAACGGGCTTGCAGGGGCCCAAATAAAACACCACAAACGCCAGAGGCCATAAACGATGCAAGTGAAGCAAATGATACGTCCTTCGAGTTGGTGATAGCCAAGGCAATGTTTTCGCAGCAGGAATGTAGTTGCTTGAAAGGTGAGGCTTCCATGCGCCCACTTGACTCTGGCGCCAATTCCACCAAGGGATTCTTGGTGCTTGCGACCTTGAGGGCATTGGAGATGATTCCTGAAAGGCCAACCTTGGCGGAGGCTCAATTTTGTTGGAAGACAGCGGCAAACCAGACAAAAAGTTTTTCTGCCCAGGGAATGTCAGCCAATGAGTTTTGCAAGGCAGAATCCAGGGCTTGCCGGCGTATCAATGGGTTAGCAAACAGATGCTCATTGGGAAACATATACATCTTGGGGGCCTAGGCAAATAGATTTTAAAGATGTCAGCATAAGTCTTTGTGAGGAAGAAAATAAAGATGAACATACATTTCCCTTCTACAGCTTGTAGCCACTCCTTTGGACTCAACCCACGCGGCCAAAAGCTCAAGTGAGCTCGCTGGCCTTGGTCCACTGCGCTAACCGGGATACCTAAGATCTTGGAGGCCAGGAGAGACTGGATGTGAGCGACCATGGCCTCCGCTTGGCTTGTTGTAAGGATTCAGCCAAATTTGTTGAGGCCATCTTCCTCGTCGAGGAAGATTGATTCCGTCAAAAGAGGTTGCGGTGAGGCGGGTCCTGGACGCTTGGTCTCCTGCATCAATGGGGCTGTTGGCCGCTTGGTCTCTTCTATCAAGGCAGACAGCTGGTTCCACTTCTGATTGCAGACGGGGAACTTTCCCTGGTTGTTTGGCCTTGGTATTGTCATGCAACCGCTGCCGTTCTGAACAAACAAGAGAAAGTTGTAAGAAGAGGTGCTGAAAAATGGCAATAGAAATGTGAAGATTGGTTTGACTTACTAAGAATTGAAACCTCCAATTGGCTCACGCATTTGAGCAAGGTTGACCAAGGGACTTCCGGCTTTCTACTCAGTTCCTTCAGATACCTCACGAGCATCAACGGCAAGCTTACGGGGGCAAAGGTAGGCTACGAGCCGGCGGTGTGGTGAGATTGATCAAACCCATAGCCATAATTAAAATCACCTTAATACACATAAATAGTAAACTAAAACATTAGAGAAGAAGGGGTAGATTAGGAAATAAACCACATAAATATTACTGGGCTAAATTGTAATTGAATTAAATCACAAACCAGGCTCAAGATATTCAATTTCTCATGGATAAAAATTGTACAAATGACCTGTAGAACTATGTTACATCCATCTTAGACTAGTAAATCAAGCTACTGATCAGAAAGTGCTTCACAGACTAGCTCTAGAAAATAACTCTTGTACTAATTAATCTAAGAATACTAATCTCATAGCAATTAATCTAAGAATAGGCCTCATATAGTAGATTTACAACCTCTTGTATTAGAAGGGCACTTAGAGACAAATTCATACCAGACTGGGCCATCTCAGAGTAGTAAAATCCACTCTAGAAGTACCCTTCTCAGACGCACTTGTGTTCAGGCCAAAATCTCATGTACTGCAGAACCATTTGTCTATAAATAGAGGCTCTTCTGGCCCATGTTTCCCATTTTCCCTCCTCATGCTATCTACAGAATAGTAATCAGAGATATTACTCAGCTTTCATCAGCCTTTGATTAAAGAAACCCAGAGATTGTTAGAGCCCTTTGAACTTCCCTTACCTCAATTTTGGCCATAGAAAAGTAATTCAGAAATATTGCTTAGCCATTCTCACCTCTTTGAAAGATATTAGAGAAATAAGTGTACCATTTATCAGAGCCCAGAGAAACCAGAGAGTCTTATTAGATCAGAGAACCAGAGAGAGAATTTATAACAGATTTAACAGAGAAACCCTTCAGAAACCCTTATTACTCAGAAAACCCCACAAACTCCCTGCCTCTTCAACAGGTATTCCTAAGCACCAATAATAGTAGTATCAAAACTAAGATAAATTTAGAAATAAGCCACACTCTTATTTTTCTTAGTGTAACCTTCCCGCAAGCTAGACAGGAGGGCAGTCTAACCCACACACCAATACTAATTCTACTATTCCATAGTCTTATTAGCTATTTTATCCCCTCCAAGCTATTTACTCACTTGCTGAGCAGTTCCACAAGTGGTGTCCCAACAGTGGCAGATTTCCTCAGATAAATTTAGTCTTTAAAAAATACTACTCCATTTGCTAGGGTTACAAGGGACTCCCCAGGGCCAGGGTAGCAATATTCTACCAAGTTATATTGCATAATAAGCTCCATATTGCATAATAAGCTTCATATTGCATGATAAGCTTCATATTGCATGAAGGATTGCATTGAATGATGAATTATATTGCATATGTCCCACTTATCAGCGAGGAATTGCATATCAAAATGCTTGCGCAAAATCCAACAAAGTTAACATATTAAACCCCCAAACTGTATGATTTATTTAGCCCCCAAACTGCATGATTTTAATCCCACAAAGCCAATGTCTGAAACCCCCAAACTGTATGTTTTATCCCCTGAACTGTATGTTTAACCCCCAAACTGTATGAATTATCCCCCGCAGAAACTGTATATCAAATGACCCGCACAATTATTTTTGGTGCCAGGGGGTTTTGAACCCGTGACCTCCTCAAAAACAATGCCAAGCCTCTGTCTAACCATTGGTTTATTTCAACTTGGTATGTTTTTGTTCCATGAGGGAACACAACCACAGGGCCTCATTTTTTCACTTGGTCACTAACAATTCAAACTAACATACAACACTTTCAAACTACCTCAGCTTCCACCATTAGAGCCATGAAAACATATTCCATCACAAAAAAAAAACATCCATCTGATTTCCTCTCCTCACCAACTTATACACCTACCAACCACATTCCTCCTCCAATATCCAACACACATGGACACCAAACCCAATTTTATACAACAAACTGTTAGTATTTCAGCTCTCTTTTTTTCTCTTTCTCATCATAAGCATATTTCATAGCATACATTCCAGTCATTATTAGAATAAATTAATGCTCACTTCATCACATAACCTCCATGTTTTCTTATCTATTTAAAGCTTGATTTTGCTGATCCAGATATACAAATCATTCATTCTTGTACCTTTTCACTCATCCATCAACACAATCAACCACCTTCTCCCTCTGATGTAAAAAACCAAGCTTATCAACACAACTCACCCAACCAACAGCAACCACCATCTCAAAACACAACAAAACATTCCATCCAAACACAATTCACCTCTTCCAAGTCACCCCACCACATTCTCCCAACAACCAGAAATAAAAAATCATCCAATCAGAAAAGATATAGATAATAACTTCCACATTTTAAATCAGCCAACAACCACATAACAACACCAGATTCAACTTGCACAACAACACACAATCAATGCTTCTCTTTCCACCAATAAACAACAATTGTCCTCAGAAATTAAATCAAATTTACTAAAATTTCCCCATTCACCAACTAAAAGCTCAATAAATATGTTCCTCCTGTGGACTCTTCCACTGCTCCTACAAACCAGAAATTCAAAACAACATAATCCTTCATGCTGCATCAACTGACTTGTAGAGCAAACCAGTGCAACAAGTGCTCAGATGGTCTATAGTTGACAAGATCCGCAGACTCAAAGGTGATGGGCTGCCGAACTTGCCATAAAAATACCAGAGCTCCCGTTGTGCTGGCTGGTCCAACAATTAATTTGATGAAGCTGATCAAATTCTTTGTTTCTCTCAACATGAACTTTCTTCCAAAGTAAAACCACCTTTTTAATAAAATGCTCCCCCATTATCCCATTCTCAACCCCCACACCAAATATTTTTCTAAATTCTTGAGCCCCTAATTTCAATTTCGTCAATCAAACCCAATGAATTGTTGCTGTCATTTAATACTGGCTTTTGAATCCAGGTTGAATGTTTTTTTTTTTAATTTTTACCTTCCTGACTTGTATTAGTTCATTTTTTTTCTCACCCATGAATTCAAAACAATGCACTTCAGACATTCCTCAAATATCTTTAACCCATTGATGCTAGCTGTGTAAGTAAGCAATCAAACTATATCTGGAGAAATCTTCATCTCAGTAAGGTCAAAACAAATATAAACAAGAAAGGAAAAACCAAACATGACTGAAAGGTAAAAGGTTGTTTGCAAAATTTATGAACAAGAAAAATTAAAGAATCAAAAGCAGAACTGAAAAAAAGAAACATGAATCAGTGATTGTTCACAAAAGTTCAAAACAAAGAAATGCTTACACAGTCACAAGTGGTGGTGACAATAAAAAACACCAAATCTTCCTTTCCAGCTGTAAATGAAGTAATTCCTGGGAACCAAGTGTTCATCATCTTCATCAATGTAACGTGGATTGAATTCTCGCACGTTAGCAATTTGATCATGAATCCAAAAAAGTACAATTCTTGCCCGATATTTGTTTAAG